TGCTATCAAGTGCCTCTTTCCTGCTACCAGCACCAGGGCTCACAGCCAGCCCTTGTCCCAGTGCGTGGCAGTGAGCCTGGCCCCAGGTGCCTGCCCCTGCTCAGGGCTCCTCTGTGGTGCTTTGGCATGTGCACGGGCCAGCCTGAGCCCTGGGGTCTCTGGAAGAAGGTGAGGGCAGAGCCCTGCCCCGAGCCCGAGGGAAACGGGCAGTGGCAGCACGGGACCCCCCTGAGGTGCCAGTGGGCTCAGACCCCACAGCAGCTGCATCCATGTCATGAGCATGGCAGAGGGCACAGGGCACCCAGGTGCTCCCACAGCACCCCACCAAGGGCAGGTGCCTCATCGGATGCCCCAGGGGATGGCTGGGCAGAAGGGCACTGTGCCAGGAGCAGAGGGCAGGGCAGAGCGGTGCCAGGAGATGGTGAAGGGGCAGTGAGGCTCTGGCCTGCTCAGGAGCTGGTTGGATACAGGAGGAGAAGGCTGCTGCTCCTAGCTTGCAGAGGAGTGGATGCAGCAAGGGCTGCTCCCTGGACCATGACAGGAGAATGCCCAACTGCCTCCAACCCCCAGCCATGGGCGTCTGCGTGGAGAAGCAAGGCTGGAGCAGCTCTGCTTGCAGGCAAGAGCTACCAGGGGCTGTGGGCATCAGTGCCAGCCCCAAACCCCAGCAGCCAGAGCCCAGGCAGGGGCCAGGACCACCGTGTGCCAGGGCTGAGAGCTGAACAATGAGGCATTGGTGCAGGGCGAGTGGCCAGTGAAACTCACTGACCTTTGGCCTTAGACTACCTGTGCCATCCTGCCCTGCCAGGCTAGCACCTGGGTGCAGCACAGCTTCCCACGTGGCCTGTCCCTGTCCCCAGGCAACTGTGCTGGCCCCAAGCGGCAGCTCTTTGCCTCACACTGCTCCATCAGGCACCCACTGCCTGCAACAGCACATCCAGCCCCTGGTGCCCACACTGGCTTGCCTGGGAAGGGGCCAACCCTGATTCCTGTGGAGTGGCAGG